GGTTAGGTTTAGGGTTAGGTTAAGGGTTAGGTTTAGGGTTAGGTTTGGGGCGGGTTAGGGTAAGGTTTTCGCTTTCTTTTTACATTTTTTGATCTTTTTCGTCGCGCTGTGATGACGTCACATACGTGCTTTCGTCGTCCGCGATTTTGTCGTCCGCGGTTTTGTGGTGGAACCGAGAAACATATGTCAAGACCACAACAGACAGAAAAGATGTCCCGTTGCAGATGAGACATGCCGCCCTGGCCCGTGTTAGGCCTTCTCTCAAGGCCTCTTGTGCTGCTCTTCAAATGCTGCACACCTACTCATGATGCTTCAGAGCTTGAGCCCTTCGCGAGTATCGCAACAAGGCTGTGCCTGCTGTTCTTCAAACTGTAGAGATGAGTAGCCCTTCTATTCTATCACCTTTTACAATATTCAATAGCACAGTATGAACAGTAGAATTCTTCAAGTTTCTGGGTTCTATAATCTCCCAGGATTTGAAATGGACACTATCAGTAAAAGGCACAACAAAGAATGTTCTTCCTGCTCAGAAAGCTCAGACATCCCAAGGATCTGCTGATACAATTCTACAGAGGAATTATTGAGGCTGTCATTTTGTACTGCAATAACTGTCTGGTTTGGCACAGCAATCAAACAGGGCAGGTACAGACCAACTGATACCATATTTAGGACTGCAAAAAGAACAACTGCAACCAATCTGCCTTCTGTTGAGGACTTTTATATTGTGAGAGTCAGGAGGTGGGCTGAGAAAATATTTACATACCCCTCACATCTTGGACATAACCTGCTTCCAGTCCTCCCTTTGGGACACCACTACCACTGCACCACTGCATTGCATTCTAAAACATATACAAGGAACTTTTTCCTTGTGCCATCACTCTGCTGAACACCTAATTCCCACAGTGCTGTTCTCCAGACAGTGCTGTCTTATGTTATGTACTTACCCATGTTGTATGATTGTAGCATTATTATTATTATTATCCCTCTCATCTTCTCTTCTACCCCCTTACTGGTATCATTATTATAAGTATTATTACTCTGTTGTTTTGCAATGTACTGTACACTGACAGCTTCTGCACTGGAAACAAATTACTTGTATGTCTAATCACATTTGGCCAAATAAAGTATCCCAACCCATCCCATTTAGAAAATGGCATGAGCATGACCAGCAGCTGCCTTGCCTGAGGCCAGGCTGGGCACAACTCATTGGCAACAGGAGGAAGATGGGGAAGGTCAACTGGGTGAAGCAAGGTCTGCAGAGGGCAGGCCTGAGTGTATACGTAGCTGGCCTTTTTGCTGGGGTGGCTGCTTACGGCATAGGGCCTGAGGTGGTGGTGCTGGGACTGTAACAGGCCCAGGGATGGTGTGGCTGGCTGAGATTGCGGAAGCTGTGACTTCTACTTCAGCATCATAGCAATAGCACTTACATAGCGCTTAACAGCCCTTTCTAAGCGGTTTACAGAGTCAGCCTCTTGCCCCCAACAATCTCGGTCATCATTTTATTGACCTCAGAAGTCTGGAAGGCTGAGTCAACCTGGAGCCGATGAGAATCAAACTGCCGACTGCAGGCAGCCTGCAGTACTGCATTCTAACCACTGTGCCACCCATGCCCTGTTGCAGAGGATGGCCGAAAAGGCTGAGATGGAGGGAGAGGGGAAAGATAGGGGGAGGGAATTGAAGTGCCTCACGGGTTGTAGTGCAGGTGGCCTGATTTGATCACATGATCGTGGGCGGCTGATATAACTTCAGGCTCAAGTGTTAAGCCCTGCTATAGCTTTGAATGACCTTTGAACAAATGGTCATTAAGCGAGGATTACTTGTATTACATTAGTCAGATGATTTTGAGAATGGCACCTGTACCTTCTTCCCAAAGTGGCTGAGTCTCACCAGTTCACTCCCTTTGGGGGCACTTTTAGAGTGTTGGAGTGCATCTGCCAAACAGGATTCCATCCTCTCCTTTGGCATGAAAGCTGGCTGGGTGACTTTTGGCCAATCATGCTCACTCAGCCAAAGTAGGTGGTGCTTGTCATGACCAAAGTAGGAGAAGGGAGGAGTATTGGGTATGTCTGTCCCTTTGAATTACGTATTAAAAAATCATCCAGCCAAAGGGGCTCGGCATTAAATTAAAGGAATGGCAGACAGGCTCCTCTTCCATCTCCCTCACCCCCAGTTAGGACTAGAAGGGGCTGGAAGTAGGAACCGGATTGGGGAGATGCACAGGAACACAGCCTTTCTCAAAATCCCAGGTTCTATAGTTTTCTGAAGATGACACAGTCCAGGATAGACATCAAGACCCTTGTCTGCTGTAGCCCCAGGGGAAGAGAGGCTCAAACTTGGTCAGCATCCTCCATCAGGCTGATGCAACTTGCAAGGCCCTGATCAACTGAAGGCCAAAGAGGAAGAGCAGCTGGAGGCTTCACTTTGATGTGAAGGCGGCTCTGGCCCAGCTGCTACCTAGGGATCACCTAGGGGTCAGCTGTGTGACTGGTGGGTCTGGGTCTTGCCTTACCTCCAGGGCCTCCATGGCAAGCTCTGGGGGGTTATGATAGTGTATCTTCTTGGGGTACCGTGCTGCCTCTTCGTGCAAGAAGTGACCCGCCTGCTTGTAGTGAAAGAGATAGACCCCCGGGGGCTGCTTCTGCTTCTCTGCAATCTTCCCCAGCATGTAATGGATCAGCCACTCCTCTTCGTCTCCGTCACCCTCGCAGCGGGAAGCTGACGTGAAGCAGTGCTTGGCCGTTTCCAACATGCCATTGCGCCGCTCTTCCATCTGAAAGAGAAAGCTGGCTCAGCAATGAATCATAAGCAGGGTGGCGAGCCCCTCGTGCCATGACAGCTGTCCACACCTGCTGCACCACCTCCGAGGGCAGCTCTGGTTTCCACTGCTTCAGCTGCCGGGAGGCAAACGAGTGCAGAGCGTAGGAAATGGTGCCATACTCTATCCAGAGCGAGAGGTTGGAGCCATCGATCTCAAGGGCTCGTTTGAAGCAGCTCAACACTGGGGTGGATTGCTTCCAGATGAGGCTGTCGCTCTTCAGTTCATTGGAGTTCAGCTTATCCTGAATGCGGCTGGCCCGGGCCAGGGCCATGCCTGCCCATGAGTCAAACCTGAAAGAGAACACACAGCCACAGTCCCACTTTGCATTTGCAAGAACCCAGGAGGGCCGACCACTGAGATCCCGCAAGGCACTTGGCTTTTCAACCTAGTCTACTCAAGGGAACTGTCAGTTGGCGGGTATATAGACTCGGGGATCTTGACCAAATGAGGAGTCAAAGAGCCTTGGGGATTTATTCTAACTTCTGATAACATCTAGCAGAAGTACTGCTTTTTCAGCGAAGCTTTGTAAATGCAGTATACAATTAGTTGGCTAATTGCCTGACCTTCCATAGTAGAGAGCATCTCTTCCTTCTCTGTTGGCAAGGCAACCTGCTATTGCTAACTTTTAAACTATTTTCCCCCTCTGGCTCCAGAGCAATCCTAAGCATGTATATAGATGTCAGGATTATGATACAAACTTAATCTGTGTGTGAACCAGTCTATTTTTTTAAACCTTACACATTTTAAAGGTTGTGTATGTGTGTGTGTGTGTCACACAGATTAATGGTGGTTCTCTCTTCAGTTTGGCTAACAACTGTGGTCTGCTACCTTTCCTCTAGCAGAAGACCTGGAACTCTCTATGTGCCCTGCATGCTGGTCTGCAATTGTCCTTTAGTGTTGTTACTCCTCTTCTGTCTTCAGATAGAGCCAAACGATTCTCTTCAGCACTGCAAACACAGTCCAATTTAACACAGCTTTGCCAGCCCTTCCTTGTCCTTCATTAAAGCCAGCAGCCCATTTTTACTACTGTTTGCTGTCCAAATCCTTTTTAGCTGCAATGCCCCACTAATAATATCTATTTTCCTATGAGAACTAAGCCTTTGAGAATTTAAACTTATGCCTATTTTAAGCTCTCTGTCAGCAAAGGGAATACAAACTGTTTTGTTTCAGTGTCCAATCAACCTGAGAAGGTTGTTGTTGTGAAGCTAAAAATAAAGGGAGATCCAACTGAATTACTAATTTTATAAACAAAAACATTGTGTAGAATCAAAGAGCTGAAGGAGGCAATTTACACCCAACCTTCTGCTCAGTCCAGGATCCAAATTAAAGCATCTGGTATCATCAGCTTTCTAGTTAAAAGCTGCTCTGGGAGCATTTTCAGGCAGTTGAAAGAACTTCTCAAGGCTACAGTTCTAGAAATCAATCCCAAACCAGAGTCCTACACGAATGCTCTTCCTGGTTCACTTTCTTATTTTTTTCTTTTATGAATTTAATTTCCTCTGTTGGCTCTAGTAATCTTTTGAACCATGAAAATCTTCCATGGTTTCCATGACAAAATATAACAATGGGGTTGATTTTGGAAGATATGTATTGTATCAAATATCAAAATAGTGTAACATGTAAAAATAACACAGTCAACATCCATCCATGTTTTGATCTGTGCTCATATCAGGTGTTTTCATGCCCCTTTCACATCAAGGGCAAAACAGATCAAAGAGGAGATGCCTCTCTCCACGATGGAGGGGGAGGGGAGGCAACCTTCTTCCCGGCTAAGGCATCGGCATCACCTGCTTCCCACTGAAGGGCTTTGCCCAGGAGAGAAGCTGCTGCCAGGATCAACAACAGCTGCAGCAGCCATTTTCTGGAGGCCCAGGTGCCCATGGAACGTAGACCGTAGGCAGGGCCAAAGGAAGGCAATGCAGACACTATCCTGCAATCAGGCAAAAGCTCCCCTCTGAGCAGACGATCAGCCTGACCTGTTTGGGCAGATGCAGATGTCATGCATGTAGAACTTGATGGCCTTGGACTGTTCCTTATTCTTGAAGTGGTAGTCAGCCAGGAGGTAGTATAGCTCGGTCACCACTGGAGGAGAGAAGTCAGCACCCTCCGGGAGGGATGGCACCTGGCAACATAGAGAAAGACCACATCTGTTTTGGTTCAGGGATTGGGGAAACTTTGGCTTGGTGGGAAGGGCTGTCCGGACTGCTGAGTAGTTGGGGAAGCACTCCTAGCTTCCAGGCTGGCCTTCAGGAGACTATCAAAGGCAAAGATATTCACAAAAGGTATCTGGAGGTGCAGAAAGGGCCAAAAGAAGATAAAATAAACAGGCAACTGTTGTCTAAGCATTGGCTGACACCTCCAGTGCATCAGTGGGCATTTCTGTCTTTATACTCTTGTATAATCTTCATGAGCTCTTGGAAGTTTACCCCAATAAAATCATACTAAATCCAAGACAACATTGCATTAAACATTGCACTGTAGAAATAGGAATGGCATTTCCAAAATGGTCTCCAGGAAAGCTGTTTTAGGCTAGTGCCTGGGAAGCCATCAGGTAAGGCACTAACATGACCTCAACCATTTTTAATCAATTTGTTGAAAATGGCTGCACAGAATAAAACAGATGGCTAAACAAGGGGGGTAAATTATAAGGAGGCAGATTTTGAATGGTAAGATGTTTAACAATGGAATAGGCTTCCTCAGATGATGGAAGACCCCTTAAGCAAAAGCTGAATGCCAGGGATAATATTATAGTGGATTCCTTTCTTGGGCAAGGGGCTGGATTGAATAAAGATCCCTTCAAATTCTTACATCCTATAATTCTATGAAATTGAAATATGTACAAAGAATAGAAACAACAACAATCTGAAGATAGAAAACCAAAAGAAATTCATTGAACTGGGTATATTTAGTCTTGAGAAAAGGCAGCTGAGATGACAATAAGTTAACATACTTTCAAACACCCTGAACTGCATTTCATAGAAGAAAGTCAGAATGCAGGACATGGGACAACAGATAACAGAAGTTGGAAAGTGGAATCCAACTGAATCTCAGAAGAAGCTGTAAAATTGGATGGATAGTGGGGCAATGTTGGCGGGACTATGGAGTTTTTGAACTAAGATGCTTAGACTGAGTTGGACCCAACAGAAGAGAATCTCTGAGCTCAGAGTTTAATTGGTGCTCTCTGAGCCTCTGTCAACTTGTAGACATTTCACGAACCCAGCAGGACCAGCAGTGATCAGCATTTAATCTCATTCTTTGTAGGACCTGCTTACCATAAGTGCTCGAAAATGAGAGCCGTTTCTCTCTGCACCCAAAGGTTTCCTGTCTTTCTCATGCAATAGCCCCAGCCAGCTCTCTTCTGAAGTCCGAAAATAAAGCACTTGTAACTCCTATGACGCATTCCCAGAAGCAAAATAATTAGTACCTTGCTCAAGGTCCCTTCAATGTAACTCGACACTTCTTCCAATCTCAGCATAGGCTTATCTGTTTGAGGGACAATCGTGGCCATCTTCTTCAGAAGGTTGGCTAGGTCAGCAGAGACTGTACTGGTTTTATAGCTGTCAAATTCAGGAAGGGTCTTGGGCTTAAAATATTCAAACATGAATAGGGAATCTTCCCACATCAATTCCACCTTGGAAAAAAAGAAATTTTAAATATGCAATGCAGTCAATGCAATCAAACCAATGCATGAAGTGAGAATTACCCAAGAGGCTCCTCCTCCTTCCATTAGTTTCAGCAAAGCCTGGACAAGCATCTGTTGAGAATAGATCACTTTGGGTTCCTGCCAGGGGTGGGTTCCTACCAGTTCTAACCTCTTCTATAGAAGAGGTTCCACAAATCTACAGTGCCATTTAGAACTGGTTCCAGCGCCCTCCCCCCCCCCCCCCGCACCCTCTCAAGAGGAAGAGGGAGAGGGGGGAGTCTGGGGGGTGAAG